TGAGAGGACACGCTTTTCTGATGAAATGTGCAGACCTGGAGTTAGCAGATCAGAAGGGAAGAACACACTTAGTGTTTCCTAAGCTGCAAGAACTAAGCTAAGTGGCTTAGTCCTGGGCTAAGTGGCTGTCAAGCCTCTTGCTGCAATATTGGGAGATTCTATAGACAAACTATTGATACAGGAAGGATCAAAAGGAAATAGAAGCACACAGTCACTGTACCAAAAATAATTGATTGATGTGCAAGCATTTCTGTAGGTAGCATTTAATCAAGAACCAATAGTGTCGAAGAAAGAAATCTAAGCTGCACTAAAGTCATTAGTTGGAAAGAAGGCTCTGGGACTTGGCAGAATCTCACCTGAGCTGTTTTAACAAGCATACAGTGCTAAAAGTGCTCACTCGTCAATGCTGAGGAATTTGTAAGACAACTATCCAGCCAGCCAACTGGAAGAGATCCATATTCATGCCCATTCCAACAGAATATGTAAATTATGGGATGATATAAAAAATATCACATGCAAGTAAATTATATTGAAGATAATCGAGAAGCTGTTGCAGCAGTATGTGCAGAACCTGTGCATGGACCAAGGGGCAGTTGGGTGCACAGAACAAGGGCCTACTGCTTGGCTTAAAATCAGGAAAGGTGGGCATCGGGGTTGTGTCCTTTCATCATTCTGTGTACTGTGTACTGTGTACTGTGCAAATCATCTGAGCAGCTGGACTGTACGAAGAAGGTCGCATCCGAATTCAAGGAGGACTTAGTAACAGCGTGACGATGTGCAGATGACACAGCCTTCCTTGCTGAAGGCCAAGAGGACTTGAAACACTTCAAATACTAGTCTTCAGCATGAATGGCGTCTCACAATGAAGAAAACGAAAATCTTCACAACTGGACCAGTGAGCAACTTCATGACAATTGAATCCACCAACACCCGGGGAAGCAGCAGTCAAGGGGATCCAAGGACATGTTACATCAGGCGAATCTGTTGTAAAAGATCTCTTTAGAGTTTGTTTTTAAAGATACCCAAGCATGGTCTTTGCGATCATTTCTTGTGCACGCAAAAGCCGGCGAATGAGTAAGGAAGACTGGAGAGAATGGTTGTGTGTGCATGAGGCGGTTGGTGGAGAGTACCGAGTGTGCCGCGGGCTGCCAGAAGAGTGGCCACACCTGCCACAGAAGAAGGACAGCCCCAGTGCTCCTTAGGAGTGTGGCTGGCTTACTCTGAACATGGTATCAGGTAAGGACCTGCCACCTGCGGAAGGACGAGGACATCAGACTTGGAAAGCATACGGGCCCTGAGAAAGAGGAAGGGCCTCACTGAGGTGGGTTGGCCCCGTGGCTGCAACACGGGCTGAACGCGGCAGTGGTGAGGATGGCACAAGAGTGGGCAGTGGCTTATCTGTTGTACATGGGGCCCCTCTGAGTGGATACTGACTCAAGGGCTCCCGGCAGCAGAAATGTGTCGTGTCGGTCTTTGGAGCAAGAAGTAGCCGCTGTAATTTAGTGTGTGCATCACATAACGCATTTAGCCTCGTATGGGACCGGCGTAAAGAAGCAGGAAGTACTTGCTCCCTAGCTGAAGAGTAAAGGAGTGAATCTTGTTTGTGAGAATTCTTAAATGGATATTTTAAAACAAAGTATGGTCCTAAATTTATTTGTTTTTCCTAAGGAGGTGTTAGCGTTGCTTGCATTCTTTATTCTGTTTCTAGCTACCTTTGCCGTTTGTGGAAGGACACTTTTTGCTCTGACAAGCAGCGAGACTGTGGGCCTCTGCTGTGCCGAGTGGACATGCCCCTCCCCCACCTGACCCCTCCTTGTGAAAGGCTGTCGAATGCCTGGAACTGCTCAGTGAGGATGGCCTCCTCTTACCACGTGCATCTCCCTTTTTCCCTGGGTTCCACTGCCTCCTTCCGTAAACACTCGTCCTGAGCCTGTAACTCTTTCTGAGCCTTAACCTCACATGTCACTTCGTTCTGTCCTCCTTTCAGCTTTCTTGATAGTATTTATTGCTGTGTCTTCTGACAGGAAAAATGCTCACTCGAAAGTTCATTGGTGAAATTGTTTGGGAAGAATTGCATTATTATTGTGTTTCTCCCTTTTTCTCTTAAAAACTGCACGTGCGCACACGTGCATGTTTGTGTGCCAGTGCTTGCCTTTTGATTAGCTGCATCTTCTGGTTGTTTAGAGGCTTCCTGTACAATCGAACGGCCTGAGCTTTACCACTTAAAGACTTCTCACTGGGGTTGTTCTCAGAGTGGGCTCGCAAGGCCAGAGGACAATGTCCACTGGTGTCTGCCTGCCAGGGCAGTTGGTGGACACTCTTGCCCAAATCCGAGCAGAGGCCATATGTGGCCCCCGTTGCTGGGACCGCTGGGCAACTTGGTCAGGTTCCGTTTGGTGTGCTCTGAGCTCTGCTCTTTGTGTCTGATCATCTCCCCTCTGCCGAGCTCTGCCGTTGGTTCTGCTGTTTTCTTTCCTTTTCCCCTCTGTCCTGCCATTTGCAGAAATGGGTGGCTGTACTGAGAGCCTGCTTAAAGTGAAAGATGAGGACCCAGTGTGTGTGTTGGGGGGAGGGCTTGGAGTCTCCCCAAGGGCTCTATAAGAACACAGATTGGTGGGCAGCTGGAGCCCACAATTGGAAGGGGAACCACGTAGATCCCATCCATCTTGTCCACGTGACTCCAGAGAAATAGGCTGGGGGTGGGGGTGGGGGAGTTACCTACATGTTAGGGAAGCCGGGCTCCATTTCCAAGTCTGTGGGGACGGGAGGCATTGGGCTTGCCCTCTTGCTCTGAGCTGGGCTCGGGGAGGCAGACTGAGTGCATGGTGGCGGTGAGATGTCACTAAGCTAGCCAGTAGGAAGTGCCACACACACACAGTCACCCTTTATTTTAGGTGTCCGAGCCATGGCTGCTGTGAATCTGGTTTCTGTTTCAGCTCCGGCACCGTGCCCAGGTGACATCACACCTTTTACTTGCAATCTCCCTGGAGTCAGGGCCCGCGGAAAGACCTGCTCCCTGAGGCTGCTCCCTTCACAACCCTGTGCTCACTCCCTCTCGGGCAGCGGGAGAGGCTGCGCAGCAGGTGGACGGGGCATTTGAGGCAGGCAGTGCGGACAGTGCCTGCCTTGGGTGCTAAGCCTTCCATGTGTGTCAGTGCCTTGGGATGAATCCTTTTGCTGGCCTTTTTATGGGGGCGGGGAGGTGTCAGTACTTTAGCTCCGAGGCCACCATCCAGTTGGTCAGGGCTGACTGGAGGAGGGGGAGAGGCGAGCCCAGCTCTCTCCATCACACCCACCACCCCTATGCAGGGTTATGCAGGCAGCGTGCCGCGTTCAGGTTAGGTGCGAGCAGGCTGGGCCTAAGCTGTCCGGGCAGAGGGCATGGCCAGCTGCAGGGTCAGGTTCTGCACAGTTGGGTGGTGTGGGGAAACCCTGAGGTGTTCAGGCTGTTGCTGTGGGTGAGGGTCTGGGCTAGGCCCCCCACCGAGTCTGACTCGTCACCTCCCTTCCCCAAACCCTGCTATGTGGGTCCTGTACTAGGAGCTGGTGGGGCATGCCCCGTTCCATGTTTTCACAGGCTGGCACCTTCTCTTTGTGGTCCTGCATCTGGAGCCCCCAGTCCTGACGGGGGTGGGGGATGCATGCACCATGGGAATTGGGAATGCTGGGTGCCCTCAGCCAGTTCCTGTGTTCAGCTCTGCTCTGCATGTAATCTGACGGCAGAAGAGCGTCCAGCCCCTGGACTTTTCTGGAGCTTGTCTTCCAGTTTATCTCCCCGTCCCCATTGTGGGGCCCATCCTGCCCCTCCCCTCCCCTCCCCTCCTCTCCACAGTTGGCTCTCTGTGGCATGCACAGTGCAGCAGAAAGAGCTGTGTTTTCGTCCCTGTCATTGTCATCATGGGAGAAGGGGGCCATCCTGTTTTCCACCTTGGCTGCCTCCAGCCCATTCTCACGCACAGTGACCCTGGAAGTAGAACTGCTCCTTAGGGTTTCCGAGTGGACATCTTTCTTCCAATGAGCGCTTAGTAGGTTTGAACCACTGACCTCACTCACAGTTAGCCGCCCACTGCTTAACCCACCACACCACCAGGGCTCCTTTGGCACCTAGGGGTCCTAATTCGTTTGAGGCAGGGACAGAGCGCTGCTCTGGAGGAGACGAAGCGCAGCTCCAGAGACAGACCTGTGGAACATGAAACGCCCCGGTGACTTCCTTGTCTGTAACCCATTTGCCGTCTGCTGACTGGCCCTCCCCCTGCCTCCCCCCAATAGCCCTGTGTGACTGCTTGTTTCTGCTTCTGCTTGCTGGCTCACCAACCAACCATAGACAGAGTGCTCCCGACAGGAGAAGGGGCTCAGTCACTGAATAAGAACGCACTGGGCCACACGTCCACACAATAAAGCCCTTCCTTGTGCTATAACCTGCTTAGTGTTGGCAGTTCTTTCAGAGCAACTCTGCTAACATTTCCACCTTTAGTTATTTATTTTAATACTTGAGAGTTAATACATATATCATTCCATAGATCCCATTCCCACCTTTAGACTACTCTTGTAATGAGTGAGAGCCATGAGCAGTCTTGGCAGCTGTCGAAACTGCTGGACTTGTGGGGTAGGGGTGGGAGGGTCCTCCCTCAAGGGGTGTCCAGTGTGACTTGGAGGGATTGGTGATCTCCTGGCCTCTTCTCTCTTACTATAAAATGTGCTCTGGCCACACAGAGGGCTGGCAGGCGCCTGTGTCCCCAGGGAGTGCGTGGTGGACTGTGCGTCCCTGTGGACCCGTTCAGGAGGTGGCAATAGAGCCGGAAAGAGGCCTTGGGGCTGAGTCAAGTTGAAGTCGTAGACGGGCTCACGTAGGGAGACCCTGAAGTGGAGAAGAGCCGTAGACAGCTGGGCCTGGAGCTGGGCAGCAGGGACACTTCCGTGTCTCATGAATCCCATCTGTGTTGGGAGGAGGGGTGGCAGTGTGGTGCGCTGTTGAAATGTCTGATTCGGTGTGATTTCAGCGAGGAGGACATGTACCGAGCTGCGGATGAAATCGAGAAGGAGAAGGAATTACTCATCCATGAAAGGGGGCCATCAGGTACGTCCGGCACGTTTTATTGATAGAGCTCTTACTGGTTACCATGGCCAGTGCCCTTAAACCGGGGTGCACTTCCCAGCGCTCCTTCTTACGCATCTGGTCTTCCTGGCCCAGCCAGGCCCTGTCACCAGAGTCTGCTGGGGGCAGAGGGTGTCCTGAGGTTCTGGAACCTTCCTGCCACTGTTCTCCCACCTTCTTCCTTTCCAGTTCTAGTCTGCAGGTGTGAGGGTGGTTCTATTTGGTGTCTTGGCACCACCCTTTCTCCATGTGGATTTCCTTCTCTGCTCAGAGCAAGGTGGTGCTTGAAGCCCATCTCATTTCCTACTGAAGGGCTTGTTGAGAAACTGCCTTGCACCTCCGCGTGCCGATGGCCACAGTGCTCCCATGACAAGAAAGAGTGAGACCTTGTGGTCAGGGGCACTTGTTTATTCCCTCCTGGTTTCCTGACCCAGGGTCTGTGTTCTCCTTCTCCCCACCCACCATGCCCTGTGTCAGGGAGGGCTGTGTGTCAGCAGGCACACGGTTTGCCTGGCCTCATGCAGTGGCCAGGTCAGGGACGGTCCCAATTTGGGGCTGATTGTGGACTGTGGAGTCGATGCCAACTGTTAGCCGCCTCAAGGGGTGGAGCAGAACTCTCCTGTAGGATTTCTCAGGCTGCGGTCTCTACAGACAGGAGCCCTGGTGTCCTCGTGGGTTAAGTGTTGGGCTTCTAAATGCGAGGTTGGCGGTTCAGGCCCACTGGCCTTGCAAACCCCTGTGGAGCAGTTCGACTCTGCCCGGTAGGGTTGCTGTGAGTGGACATTGACTCAGTGACTCAAATGACTCGTTTGGTTTTCTGGTTTCCTCTTTACAGAGGTTGATTGCTAGGTCTTTCTCCCCCAGAGCCGCTGGGTGGGTCTGAACTGCCCACCTCTCAGTCAGCTGGTCGACGGTCAGCCTTTGTGATGGATGTGGGCTGCTGCTCCTGAGAAGCAGCTTCTGCTCCCTGTACGGCGAAGGCGCGCGCTGCATGCTTATGACTGCGACTGTGCTGCAGGGTGCTCCGTCCCTGCTCTTCGGAGATTGCTTCCTCTTGTGTTCTGGGCAGCTTCTCGTTTTCCTTTCCTTTCCTTTCCATCCACTCAGAAGGTGCATTTTCCCGCCAGACTGGCCTGGCCTTTTTTGTGGTTGTGAATTGCTAGGATCCTGGTGGCACAGCGGCTGAGGCATTTGGCAGCTAAGAGAGGTCGGCAGTTCCTACTAACCACGACTCTGGGAGAGAGCAGAGGCAGTCTGCTTCCATAGGGTGGCCAGCCATACCGGTGGGACAGTTCCGCGTCCTACAGGGTCCCTGCAAGTTAGAGCGGGGGTTTTCCTTGGCTCTTGCTCTTCAACAGGGGTGACCACAGGCTGATACGACGTGTGCTTATTTCCTAATCTATAACGAATAGATTTTATCTCTGCTGATCTTCCTAACCTACAAGGAGGGCTCCCTGTGTGCCCTGCCCCTTAGCCACTGCTGCTCCTTCCTCCTTCAGCCATTGCCAGAGCCACTAAGGACAGAGGCCATGCCCCCCTATCTCAGCTGTGTGTCCCCAGCTTCTAGCTCATCAGCTGGCACTGATAAGCCATTCAGTAATACTTGTTGAATTTGCTTAAATATAACATTTTCCTTTTATGAACCACTTCCTCAGTAATAAATATATCGTATGCTATTTCTGTGTGTCTAGTTTAATTTCTGGGCTACCATATACATCTTTTGGAAAAGGAAGTCAGGCTGGGTCCGCTAATTCACCCCACTCTCTTCCTAAAACTCATGTGCTCTTTTTCACGTGCGCTAATTAGTGTGCATGCAAGTGCATATGCGCGTACACACACACACACACACACACACACACACACACTTCATGGCTGTGTATGCGACTCAGCCTTGCTCCTAACCTCAGACCTCGCAGGTTCAGCAGGGACAGTCTCGCAGCCCCTCTTCACTGTGTCCTTTGGTCCTAAGTTGACTCTTTGATTTCAGGGACGTGTGATTAGTTGAATGCCTAACTAGTGTGCCAAGCATTTCATTCACAGGTAGAGCCCCCATGGGCTCAGGGCTGGATAGACACCGCCCCAGACAAGGGGGGTTGGCACTAGGTGTTGTCTTTGTGTAATGGATGTACAAAATCTTAAATGCATTTTCTCGTAGCTTAGATGATTCCGTCTTTGATTAGATAAAAGAAGTTTTCACAGACACCTGCAGGCCAGGCACTTACTTACTTAGAAGTGCCCAGACTGCAGCCTAGAGTAGCCAAACAAGCCCCTGCCCTCAAGGAGCTTAAGCCTCCCTGAGAGGTGGAGGGTGAAGGAAGCAATACAGGTGGTAAACCGTGATAAGCTCTAAGAAGAAAACCAAGACGTTGCCAGGGGAACAGAGAATGCAGTCCTGTGTGCACGTGAGAGGTTAGGGGAGAGGGCTTGGGTGACACTTGGGCAGAGACCTGCTCGGGGTGAGGGAGCAGCCCTCCAGGGAAGGGCTGGGAGGGCTCTGGGTGGGGCCGAAGCAGAGTCAGTCCCTGTGTGGGCAGGGGGTGGAAGCTGAGGCCAGGCGGGCCTTATAGGTGAGGACCTCACTCTGTGCCTGGGCATGATGGAGACAGCTGACCTGTTGGGTCGTTCTGCTCCCATGGGATCCAGGACAGAGGTGGTGGTGTCTGGCCCAGGGTGTGGTCGGTGGGCGAGTCTGTCCTGGTGGCAGTGAGGCAGGAAGGGAGATCCGGTGAGGCAGGGCTGGCACCCTGGTGGTGCTTTATTTTCCTCTCTTTCATTTGGATTCCTTGACAGAACTCCGACTGAGTGTTGCTCCAGAAATGGACATCATGGACTACTGCAAAAAAGAATGGAGGGGGAAGACACAAAAAGCTACCTGCATGAAAAAGGTATTGCAAGTGTGTCCACATACACATCGAACGGCCCGCCCAGCATTATTATTAAAGGTGCCCTTTAAACTTTCCGAAGTTACGGTGGTCATTAGACAACATAAGTATTGCTGTTCTAATTTTAGACACGAGGCAACAGACCCCACAGATGAGGGACTTGTTTCGAGTCCCAGTGCCGGCAGTCCTGGGTGTAGGATGGGCTTGTATTCGGATGGCTGTGTCATGAGTCATTTCTGACTTAAGTTGAACATGTGTGCGTACACCTACTCCTCACTTATCTATTTGATATCGGATATGTCAGATTTACGACAATAGTGGGTGGGGGGGGCTGTAACTATTTAAAGCATTAACGATGGACAGATGGCAGAAACGCCAAGCCACCAGGTCGGAGTGACCCTGGCTGTGATGGTTGTGTGTCACCTAGTCTGGGCCTTAAGTCTCGGCAGTCTGGCACTTACATAACGAAGTACTTCTGCACTCATGTAATGGTGTGGTCGTCCTCCATTTCTGCATAGCACTAATTTTTGCATAACAAAACCTGGTCTTTGGAATCTAACCATGTGGATAAGTGGGAAGTAGCTGTGTGTGGCGTGTGTTCATTATTAATGCCTTTTATTTCCAGTACCTCTAGAAATTCAATCTTTGAATGTCTGAGAATGTCATATCAGTAAATGGCACGCTGCCACGTTGTAGTACACACTTAGGACTGAGACGTACCACCCACAACAGCTGGTCAGAGTGGCTGGCCACAGCTCAGCACCCTGTAAGTGGGGCCGGCCTGTATTGATGGTCAGCATCAGTTAGTGGGAGCTGAAGTTCTGTGTGCCACGGGTATGAATCCCTCTGCACTGGGCTAGCTGTTGCTCCTCTTGACTTGCTGTCAGCGGAACCACGGGGAGGGCAGGGGGCGGGCTGAGTCATCCTCCCACTGCCCTTCTGGGTTTGGGTGTCACCCCTCGAGTCCTAGGGGCCTTCCTAACCCGCACTCCCGTTACATACACTGGGCCTGAACGCCATGGGACAGCACCAGGCCTCCTGCACTGTGGTGCTGCTGTGTTCCTTGGGGCCGATGGGGCCAGTGCCCATGCGCAAGCCAACTCCTGGACAGCCTGCTCAGACCACAGACCCTGCTGGTGCCCCAGAGGTGTGCCCTGCCCTCATTCCTCAGTGTAGGGTCAGTGTGACACGCTGCTGCTGGCTTCCCAGCCTTCTACTTGCCGCCTTTGGGAACAGCTAAACTGCGTCTTTTGTTCACTCTCCTGTTGGAATTATTTACAGTTTGAATTTATTTGTACCTGTCATTTCGAGAGAAATATTTTTCAGCCTTTGTTTTTAAGTGTTTGTTAATAGCTACGATTTCCCCCTTTTTTCCATGTTTGAATGCACTTGCCCTTTTCCTCAGAGCGTATGTTTAGTAAAAATGGTGCATGCTTCAGCAGGGATCTCGCCTACCCATGCCTGCGTGGAGCGCCATTGGCTTGCCACCTTTATGGCTCTGAGAGCAGGGGGCAGCTCAGACCTTGAAAATCTGTGGGGCAGACATGCTGTGCCAGGTTGCCCACATGGGGGCTTAGCATGAAGAATGTGGGCTTCTCCTTCCCAAGAGCACTCTCTCTTGCTGTGGCCATCTGCTGACTGTGCCAGCCAACCTCTCTGTCGGCCGGACCGGCTTCTTGTCGCTCTCCTGGCAGATAGCCTGGAAGCCAGTGTCTCAGCTGCGCTTCCTCGGCAGTGTCCTCGGCAAGTTTACTGCCTCGGCCTCCTTGGTGGATGGCTTCCAACCACCGGGCTCTTGAAAACTATCCCTCACGGTGTCTTCTAGGCCATCCCACCCTTCCACTCGCAGGCGCCTGTGTAAAACCAGCCCTCTGTGGGGTTCCCTCCAGGACAGGCCCGTCTGCAAAGTGTCCCTTTGTGTCTCCCCCCCAACTGCCCCTATGGGGGCCAGTGCCCATGACAAGTGGGGGTGGGGTTAAAAGGCCATGCTTGTCTACAAGCAGACCTTGGATTTGGGGCAGTCTTTGAAAAGTCAGTGTGGATGAACCCTGATTTACTTTTCAAAGTTGACTCGCCTCGGTTTGGGAAAACGCCATGTGCAAGGTCTTCTGGGGTGGGGGCATCTTGAGGAAGCGTGCACCTGTGGGTGTGGTGGGCCCACGTATGTGCAGGGCTGGACATGCCTGCTGGAGAAGTTAGCCCATCAGTGCCTGGGCACCAGCCACCGGGGTTCCCGTGGTCTTTCTCTGTGTGCTTGAGAACTGTCGGGGGGAGGGCCGTCTCCTGTGATGACATGCGTCACAGCACACGTTCATTTCTTCATCTCACCTCCAGACTGAGCAAGAATGACACTCAGCCTCCCTGTCTTAGGGTTAACAGCCCCAGCACGCAGACATCCTTCTAAGTACCTAACACCCTGGGCCTTCGACCTGCCTCGTAGGACGGAGATAGGAATGAGTGTGTGTCCCTCCGTCCCTTCTGTCTCTTCATTACAGAGGGCAGGGTCAGCGAGCCCTCAGTGTGAGTGTTGCTCAGTGAGTGTTGATAATGGTTGCTTTGAAGTGGCTGGAGTGCCCCACGCGCAGGGCCCGGCCATTCTCCCCACAGGACAGCCACGTGTCCCTGCATCTGTAGTCAACAGTGACCCACTATGGACTCTCTGATACTCTCCCTCAGGGCTACGAGGAAGTCGCTCAGAAATTCACCTCCATCCGGCGTGTCCGTGGTGATAATTACTGTGCGCTGAGGGCGACCCTGTTCCAGGCTATGAGCCAGCCGGCCGAGCTGCCCCCCTGGCTGCAGGACCCCGAGCTCACACTGGTATGTGAGCTGCTGCCGCAGGTTTGAGTCTGAGTACCTCACGTGGCTGTGTGAAGAGACGTGCCCTTCTTGTCTGTGCTGCTGCTGGGGGGTCCTGGGACCTGGTGCTGTGGCTGCCCTGGGCTGTGAGGGCTGGGATGGCTCAGTGAAGGGGACCTGCATCCCAGATCAGAAAAGAATCCACAGAGAGGCGCTGCCTCGTGTGGCCTAGCCACGTTAGGGTTGTATGCCTTCAAGTGGGTGATACACTTTAGGCTCCAGACCCTGCCGGCGGTTTGAAAGCATGTTTCTTACTGAGTCCAGGAAATGAGTAGATCCCGCTGCCAAGTCTGGCGTTGGGGGCAACTGAGCCGCCACTCTGGCGGAGATATGGTCCTGTCACCTCGGGGAGGCGGCTCTTGTTGGCTTCGTCAGTCTGAGCCCTGGGAGGCTATCAATCAGCGGTGTGCCCGTGCTGCGGGTTACCCAGGGTCCCATCACAACAGTCGGTGGTGGCACCCCACAGGTGATTCTGGACTGACTGCAGAACGGACAGTACGACAGTAACTAGAGGAAAATCTGTAGTCTCTGCTTAGTTAAAGGCAAGAATTGGCGTAACTTTCCATTTTGCTGAAGCAGCAGTTCGCAACCTGTGGGTCGCGGGCCCTTTGGGGGTCGAACAACCCTTTCACAGGGGTCGCATAAGACCATCAGAAAAACCATAAATAATTCACAATATATGTTTACATATTGTTTTGTGATTAATCACTATGCTTTAATTATGTTCAATTTGTAACAATGAAAATACACCCCGTAGATCAGATGTTTACGATTCATAACAGTAGCAAAATTACAGTTATGAAGTAGCAACGAAAATAATTTTTGGTTGGGTCACCACCACATGAGGACCTGTATGAAAGGGTCACGGCATTGGGAAGTGCTGCCTGGGGGTGAGCTTTTCCTAGCACCCGGAAACCAGCCTCAGGGCAATCACGGAAGGCAGCCCCGCAGTGAGGCCGCTTCCATGGGAACGGATTGTGAAGGCCCAGAAGGAGCGGTCCAGGTGCAGGCAGGACAGGCCGAGCCTCTCAGAGCGGAGCCCAGCTCCCTGCCTGGGCTCTTCGCTGGTAGCTGGGCCTGGGAGAAGCGGAACCAAGGTCCTTTAGCCAGTCTTAGCAGTAGTTCAAACAGCAGGGGATGTTTGCTGGGGAACAACATGACTTGGAGAGGAAATCTCTCAGTGCATGGAGACTCTCATAGCCCCAGTAGGCACAACGGGGGACAGTGGGTGCAGGACACCAGTTGTCTGTCTGATGATTAACTGGTTTATAAAGCCCCAGAAAAGCAGCCTGCCCATGTGAACCATCCCCTCCTCGTCTATGAGAGAGGCTTCATTCCCAGCAACGACTGTGCAAGCTGAAGCAGAGTTCCTGGGACAAGCGTGCGATTGCTGCTCAAGGCTCGTGCACACCACAGCATTGTTAGTAATGGCGCATGGCTAGGCGAGTCAGTGACCCAGCGCCTGTGGGGGCCTGAGGGCTGAGAAGCCTGCCAGGTGCTGCCATTGGCAGTGTTCTCACCAGCGCACTGGACAGCATCACTCACTGGCTGGTCTGTAACAGACAGCCTTCCTTTGGGAGGCTGAGCCTTTCGGCTAAGGAACTATTCACATGGACTTGGGTGATATCACAAAGTAGGATTTTTATGCTTTCCCAGAAACTCTGTGGTAAGCACGCCTAAGGGATGACACACACAGGTGATATTTCCCATGGACAGGAAGCACGGCGCCCTACTGTTCTATAGTCAGGACACATTTGGGGACAACTGCCTGCTGATTAATAACATGACAAGTCATCCAGTCTGGCTGCTGTAGGAATGTGTTGTGCGCGGATTGCCTGCCTGCCTGGCCAATATGAAAATGATGTTGACCTTCCCAGGTATGCTTTCTAGTTTCTTCCCTGTTCTCTGTGTGTTAGGCAATAACCACTTCTTCTCAGGGGTGCCCAAATCTTCCTGGTCTTGGTTATTTTTGGTCATCAAAACATTCCTGAAGGCCAAGAGGCCCAGGAAGATGCTGCAGACCTGTGTTAGTTACATAATTTCATATCAACTTGATAAATAGAGTGAAGGGGTAGAGTTTAGATTATCAATCAGGTCATAGCCTAATGTTGCCTCATGGTGGGCATGACTTTCTCATGAGAATTCTAGGAACTTCCTCTCTTTCTCTCTGGATGAAGGTCACTCTCTCTCTGCTTCACCTTCCTGTGGAGGAGCCACGTGGAGACCCATGCCAGCGCTGAGATGCTTCCCCCGCCACTGGATCCACAAGACTTTCTACCCACCGGCCTGTGATCTTCCTATATCATTGCATGTGCTGTGTGAGTCTGAGAGGAATTTATGGACTATTATTGGACATATGGGCTAATATTGGATTTGAGGACTTGATCTGGATTGGGCTGGAATGTTTTCTCAACATATAATTGCTATTTGATATAAAGCTCTTACACATAAATGAGTGTCCCTGGTCTCTAGTCAACATGGTCTGACACAAGACCTGCTTGTGAGTTCCACCTTTAAGTATATAGAACTGGTTTGGCCACGTGTCAGCTGAAGAAGGAAGCGACTTGGTTCTTAACTCTCTCATCCAACAGACGACTAGTTCCCTTGTTGGTTTTTCCATCCCCGCCGTGTGCCGTGAACGACTCACTAGGGGAAGATTCATCAGTAATCTGCTGAAGATGAAGAGGACTTGAACCACTTAGTCATGAAGATCGAGCCTCAACATAAAACAAAAGCAAAAATCCTCACACCTGGTCTGATGGACAATAGATATCATGATAAATGGAGAAAAAAATGTGGTATGCTTGAGTTTTCTAGAGAAACCAAACCAGACATACTCATGTTTGTGTGAAAGAAAACCCTGTGTCAAGAAAGCAATTTCCATCCAAGAAGCAGCCGAGCCGTGGCCCTGGGTCAGGTGCTTGCTGGAGGGCCCTGCAGACTCCCAGCTGCTGGCCGAGGGAGGAAGCCGGAAGCTGGGAAATCGCAGCCACGTGGATCCAAGCTCTGCAGGAACATGGCAGGACCCCTAGGGTTGGCAGGCCGCATGGACCACCAGCCCCAGAGCGAGACACAGTCAGGAAAGCAGGAGGGCAAAGGGGCAAGAGAGGGAGGCAGTTCCAGTGTCTTATAAAAAGGCTTCTCCCCCAGGTAGGTATCGTCAGGCCGTGACGTGACTGATAGGTTGGACTCCACCCCTGCCGTCACACAGGTACAAGTTGACATAAACCCTGTCAGAAGGCGGGGGTTCATTTACTAGGGTCTGCAGTCTTTGTTCAGGGAAAGAAAGTAGTGTATTGCACTCGGCAAATCTGCAAATGATCTGTTTAAAATATTAAAGAGTAAACGTCACTTTGGGGACGAGAGTAGGCCTGACCCAAACCGTGATATTTTTATTTGCCTTGTATGCATGCCAACGCTGGACGAGAGTGACGAGTTGGAAGACCATAGAACTGACGGCTTTGAATTGTGCTGGCAACGAATACTGACTGTGCCACAGTCGCTGGAGAAACAAACAAGTCTGTCTGGGAAGAAATCGAGCCAGCGTGCTCCCTGGAAGCAAGGGTGGTGACATTGGGTCTGCCGTACTTTGGACATGTTATCAGGAGAAACCAGTACCTAGCAAAAGACATGGTGCTGGGTGAAGTTACAGGGGCAGCGAAACTGAAGACCCTCAAGGAGACGATTGACACCATAGCTACGGCACCGGGTGCCAACGTAGCAGCGATTGTAAGGATGGCGCAGGACACCAGGCAGTGTGTTGCTTTCTCCTACATAGGGTTGCTATGAGTCTGGTAGCAGGTTCCCCAGGTGCTTTGATTTCAAGGCCCACGCACCAAACTCACCACCTTCCTTCCTCCCTCCCTCCTGTCTCAGTCCACCCCTCTGCCCCTCCCCTGTCTTCCTCTCATAGTCTGTTCGTTGGAAGATGCGCGGCATGGTGGGTGGGGTGGGATCCTGGGGTAGGTGGAGTACCGGATCCCCTGTTCTCTGAGGAGAGGGGAAACACTATCTCCAGCTATAACCTAGAGATACCAGAGGGCTTCAGAAAGTTTATGGGAACTTTACATTATCTCTCAACTCCATTTTCCACGAGCTTTTAGAAGCCCGTCGTGGGGCTTCAGGTGCATAGTTCAGACAGGCAGTCTCAGGAACTGTTGCCATAGTTCACCTACAAGGCCTGTGCCCCTCCTGCCTGTCTCACTGGTGCGCCAGAATCCTTGTGCCCTGGCAATTACTTATGCTAAAAGCAAGGGTCTACTTGCCGTTATAAAGGCGTGAAGCCAGCTCACCATAAGCCACATGCCAACCTGAGCCTGCTGCTGTCGAGCTCATGCTGGTGGCGGCCGCCTGCTTGCCCAGTGGAGCTGCTCCATCTTTGCAGAAGTGGGTTGACAGGTCTTTTGTCGGTAGGTTCTCCAGGGGTCTCACAGGCCCACAGCAGCCCTCCTGGGAATGGATCTGTGCCCGTTTACCTTGTTCCTTGGCCCGAAGGCAATGGTGATGGCCTCCTTTACCACTGTCCCAGGTCCACTGGGCAGGGGTCAGGTCCTGGTCAGGGGACAGGTGACGCTGTGGGAACCATGGAAAGGCTGCACTCAGAGGCAGATGGAGGGACTAGAGGCTCCAACCCACCCCTCTGCGGCTCTGGGAACCGACAGGGTACGGGACGTCCAAGGGAATTGGGACTCTGTAGACCCAGAGGCAGCCTCAGCCTGCTGTACCGGCCCAGAGCTGTACTGGCTGGGCGGCCTAGAGCAGCCCTGCTTGTCCCTGGTGTGCAGCAGGTGCCTCTGAGTCGCTGCACCTGCTTCCCTTGGCAGGTTGGGAGAGGAGGCCATCTCTGCTGTCAGAGAACGCCCCTTTCAATGGGAACCAATGGGAGAGCCCCACCCCCCACCCCCTAGTCCCTCTGCGGCTGCCCAGCCCTGGTCTTCCTTCAGACAGTTCACTGCCACCTCCCCTCCTACTGCCCAGCCCCTCCCTGTCTTACTGGCATATCTAGACCCGCATCTGTGTCTGCTGGCTGGGCTCACCTGAGACACATGGCCTGGCTGGCCCTCACTGGACCTCTCTGTCCTGAGAGGGTGATGTGTGAGCAGGCCCCTGTGCACACACACATGCACATGATGTGTAGGATGTGGTTTCTTACGAGGGCAGACTTAGGATTGACACATTACTTGTCAATACCGTGTTCACAGTGGTGGGTTGAAGAGCGATGGGCGTTTGCTGGAGAAAGCAGACTGCTGTCATTCTGTCACAAGTGAAGTTACTCTAAAACCGACTAATTTGAAATCATTCCTATAGAAAATTAGTGCCTTGTTTCTTGCGTCAGGGCCCCTGGTGGCTCTGTAGGCTTGTGGTAGGGCTACTCCCCACAAAATCAGTGGTTCAAATCCACCAGCCACTCCCCAGGAGATGGCTGCCGTAATGACTGCAGTCCGGACACCCTGTGGGGCAGCTCTTCTTGGGCCAAGAGGGTTGCTGTGAGTTAGAATCCCCTTGGTAACCACAAGGCTATGTTGTGGCTCCTGAAAGCATTTAAAGTTACATTTGTAACCTCAGCACCAGCTCTTTCCTGATAACCAGGAATAGTCAAAATAGTTTTGACTATTTCCAGACCTTCTCTGGGGCCACAGAACCTCCCAAAGACAGACCACCAGCACCATGTGACCCAGAGCCAGCAAGGTCCCTGGTCCCCCCGAGTCCATCGTGGGCCACCTGCTTCCTGGGGCTGCCTTTCTGCTCACTGTGGGACTTTGTACGGCTGTGACTCCCGAGCGCTGCCACTTGCAGGCATGTGAGGGCTGCTGGTGGCCCTGGGACCTGGATCGAGGCTTTGAAGCAGGACCACCCGTGGTTCTATGGTACTGTGACAAGCCGGACAGTGTGGTGGCCTGCCAGCCCCATGCTCTGGGCTTGGCCATTGTCCTCCTACAGTCAGCCATGTGCCACTGGAAATTGCCCTGGGAAGCCCTGCTGGGGCTCAGGGTTGGTGCACAGCCGGAGTCCCCTCCCTTCCCCGACACCGCCTCAGCAGGACCTGAGAGATCCGGAATGGTGCCATGGGATCCGGCACCCCCAGTGGTGCGAGCACCGAGCCCAGGACTGTTGGCAGTGCAGCCAGCTCAGCTGCGCCCCTGACGCTGTAGAGTAACTGGCGGTCCTTGGTGGGCTTTCCACCTGGAGGTGGGTGGTTTTCTCTGCCTTTCCCAACAGAAGTCACCTGCCTCCCGCCCAGCCTGGCAGGGGGCCGTGCTCCTGAACGCCTCGTCGCCATGCTGTCAGATCAAGTTGCGTCTCGGCTTGTGTTCCCAGCCCCATGCCCTGGTTCCACTGATAATTAGGGGAAGACAAAGCAGGAAAAAACACTAGGAACCGGAAACAGCCCGCGTTCAGCTGTTCTCCGAGCTCGTCTCCCCACTGCCCGGCCGCTCAGGCTCAGCCGCTTGTCCCACTCTGCTTGCTGACTTTCTCTGAAGACGTGTGGGTATTTCCAGAGCTGTCTTCTACTTTGTTTTGAAAGCGTGTGTGTTTCAATCAGAAGCTGTGTTTCCTTTTACCCGGGACCTTCTCCCAGGCCGTTGAAAGTGTGTGTGTTTCAATCAGAAGCTGTGTTTCCTTTTACCCGGGACCTTCTCCCAGGCTGCCACTGGCAGCCAGAGTCAGGCTGTAGGTCAAACGCTGTGATGGTGGGTTGCGGCCTGGAGATGTGGATGTAAAGATGATGTGCCAGTGTGGCCTCAGTTTACACTCTCACGGTGCTGGGGGGTGTCTGACTGTGGACAGGGTGTCCCTGTAGTTAGTAGTTAGTTCCTGTGGATCTCAGCTAGAAACCCCTGCTCCAGCAGCCCCCTCAGAGTCTGAGCTTCTTATGGCCCAGTTCAGGCCTACCCCCCTCTGGAAAGGGGGCAGGTGTGGCAGGTTTCGGTGTGTTGGGTCCTACCGTGGGCTTCCTGGAATGCTAACACCTGTCTTTGTATCTGTGTCCTGCCATGACAGCTACCTGAGAAACTCCTCAGCAGGCACAGCTGGATCCAGCAGTGGAAGCTTGGTCTGCAGTTTGCTGGGCGGCGCGAGGACCTGGCTGACAGGATTAAGGAGTCCCTCACTCTGCTCAGGAAGAAGGTCTGGTCCTGTGGAGGGTCTGCCGAGTGGGAGCCCCCAGACTGGTTCCTGGGCTCTGCCCAGCCACAGAGCCTCGCTCTGAGCCAAGTTCTAGGCAAATGGTTTTAAATGCACACAGACTCTTCCCTGCAGTCTCTGGTAACATGGACAACTGCACTGTTGTGTCTTCTTGGCAGAGAAGGCTCTAACGCTCTAGGAGATGGTAAAACAGTGACCTAGTTCTAGAACTGAGCCTCAGCACACGGAGCCTGGGTTTTGAGCAGCATTAAAAGACTCCGGTGTATTTCTTACAGCCTTATCAAGTGGGCCGTGACCCTTGAGGGCAGTGGCTTGAAACCACCAGCAGCCTGGAGGGAGAGAGACAGGGCTTTCGATTCCTGTGAAGAGCTCGAGTCTCGGAAACCCTGTCCATTACAGTTGTTAGAGCTGGTACCGGTGCCATGGCAGTGAATTTGGGTTTTTTGGTATCGTATTAAATATTCTTGGTCATGTTTATGTCGAGATTCCGTATTTATGAGATGCCTTTTCCTTGGGGTTTTCTAGAGACAAAGTGAGTGCCGTGTACCGTGAGAACTGTTGGAAGGATTTCTCAGGAACAAGTGGAGGGAGGATTGGGTCTGCTAGCTCACATGGGTGTGAGTGTGGCAGCAAGCGTGTTGCTCTCCTGGGGTGTTCCCTCCTGCGGCACCTGGGGCCCACCCTGGCCCGGGGGCTTACCTCAGCAGCTGCCAGACCAGAGCCTGCACTGAGGGCTGGGCGATTGTGCCAGGCTGGGCGGAGAGCAAGTACGGAGGCCTCAGTCCTGTCTTTCAGAGTTCCATCACTGCACTCCCCATCTGACGTCCATTTCCACAGGTCCTGACCTGCTGGTTCCTACACCCCCAGAGCTGGCCCATGGTGGGAGTCAGCAGGTCCATGGCCAAGTGCAGGCGCATGACCCCCGGGGCCCCTGGACTTCTGGTTGGTTTACAAGACTTTTCACCCTTTTCGCATGTGGAGAGAAGAGGTTCTGCGTCACTACCCATGGAAGCAGGCTGTGGGGTAGAGCCAGGCTCTGGGCTCTTGCGCTCAGTCCAGTGATTGTTTTTTTGTCCCCCTCCCTCCGAAGGTCCTGTGAAACGGCTTGTGTGGATGTGTGTGCTGGAACAAGACCCTCAGTTGGGGCAGTGTTCCCATTCTGCCAAACCATTAGTTCATCCTCAGAGCAGCCGGACCCAGCACTTCCTGGGGGACAGTTCTCCCTGAGTGGCCGTGCTTATCGCCGGTGCACAGACAGGGGAAGTGAGACTCGGAGTTGAGTTCCGTGCCCACAAGAGCCACAGCTCCTTCGGGGTGGAAGTGAGCCCGTCCACCTGGTCTCCTTCCGACCCGCCCCAGTGATGCCAGCACGTTCCAGCTCCCCAGCTGCCGGGGCTCCTGGGGCGAGGCCAGGCCATGAGCAATTATTCTTGAGCTGTTCTTCTCAGTCGTTTTTTGAGCAGCTTCGTTAGTGGTTATTCGATGTCTATGCACCGTCACGTAAGAGCACGTACTGGGCAGGGTTCTGTGGGTCACGTGAAGAACGTCCATCTGGCATGCGTAAGAATGTCCTCAGTGGATGCATCGCCGGGAGCTCGTGCATGTGCCTAAGAGGTTAGAGGGGTGCGTTCACTAAACTTCCTCTCGAGGAATCCTCAGCAGCCTCCTGGCCTGTCACCCTGTGACGGTGGGCTTTGCATTGCGGGGAGTTGCTGCTCCTGGAAGCCCTTGGCGGGGGAAGAGTCCTTTTAACACCCTTTTTAAAAAAACTTGCCCCGGCCCTTGGTACTTCCAGGGGGCTTGCAGTGACTGGGTGTCGGGACGGACAAGGTTCTGTCCTCTGGCCCCAGTGCTTCTCCTTAGTGCAGTGCAATTTTCTCTCAAATGATGACGGGGCAGAGAAAGCAGTACCATGAAGCTAACACTGGGAATGTAAGAGTGTCGGCCGTGATCGTGTGGATCCAAAGAACAAAACTGTAACGCCGATGCCCCTCTCTCACTGCAGTGGGCAGGCTTGGTGGACATGCGAACCGCTGAGGCGAGGCAGGCTGCTTGTGACGAGCTGTTCACCAGCCAGGAGGAGGAGTACAGCCTCTACGAGGCGGTCAAATTTCTAATGCTCAACAGAGCCATCGAACTCCATGAGGACAGAGAGCAGGGGCGGGACGTCCCGTTCTTCGCGGTGCTCCTGTTTGCGAGGGACACGTCCAGTGACCCCGGACAGCTGCTGCGGAACCACCTAAACCAAGTGGGACACACCGGTGGCCTTGAACAGGTAAGGGGGGTCCTAGGGGGGCTTTTTCTGCCCAGACCATTTTATTACCCCAAACGGACACCTTGTGCCTGTTCATCCTCACCCACCCCTCCCTTCCCCTAGCCCTAGACAGCCACTTTCTGTCTCTGGCTGGATGTCGTTAGCATCTGTTGCAGCTCCTAGTGACCTTGTGTACAACCAGAACACTTGCCCGGCCCTCCCCCACACTCACCCTCTTTGCTGTGTGGGTGCTCCATGCCGTGGCCGCTGAGTCAGCCCGTCTGCTTGAGGGTCTCACGCTTTTTCAGTGACACTCCTGCCGTGCCACGCACCGTGTCCTTTCCCAGGGGCTGGGCTCTCCTGACGGGAAGACAAGTCTTGCCGTCCATTCTTCCCAGGAGCATTCTGTCTGTGCTTCCTCCAGGACAGCTTTGCGCCTCCTCCTGGCATCCCGGGGGTAGTGCGTCTTCTTCCCCAGCACTGGAGTTAAGAGACATCAGATCTTTGGTCTTCCTTATGGATCACCCAGCTTTCACATGCACCTGAGGCTTTGTCTGTGATTCTGGGTAGTTCAGATGAATTTATTCTTATATATGTGGTCTTTTATGACTGCTTTAGCATTAGCTTAGAACCCATGCAGATACTGTTAGCTTGGATCAGCACTTTCTGTATTATTTCTGTATTATTACCAAATATCCCATTGTGTGACTGACTCATGTTATTCATCCACTGACTTGGACATGTGGGCCGTGTACACTTTTTGAGTAATGGAACTGTGAACATTGCTGTGTACCTCTGTTGGGTGGACAGGTTTCGAGTCTGAGTATATACCCAAGAGTAGAATTGCCGGATGGAATGACAGCTCTTTGCGAAACACTTTGAGCAGCTGTCCAACTTTTCCACAGTGGCACCGCCAGTCTCCATTCCCACAGCCATGCAAGAGAGGTCCGCTTCTCCGCAGCCCGGCCGAGGCCCGAGACTCTTTTAAAATTCAGATGGAATTCACCCTCAGTGTAAAAGTACACAGTTCAGTGGCATGAAGCACACTCAGCGTATTGTGACCACTCCCTCCAGCCAGTACGTTTTCATCTGCATTAAGGAGAACCTGTGCCGTGAGCAGTCAGTCTGCATCACCCTGTCTCTCCATTGCCGCCCTGGTCCCCCAGAATGCCTGTGTGCTTTCTCCCCACAGGTGGAGATGTTCCTTCTTGCCTATGCCGTGCGGCATACCATCCAGGTGTACCGGCTCTCCAAGTACAACACGGAGGAGTTCATCACCATCTACCCCACCGACCCCCCTGAGGACTGGCCAGTGGTGACGCTGATCGCCGAGGATGACCGGCACTATAACGTCCCTGTCAGGGTATGTGAGGAGACAAGTCTGTGAGCGTCACACCGCCCCGGACAGCCTGGCAGGCGCGTGAAGGCACCAGCACTTCCTTGGCTTGGACTTGCTGCTCTTCAGGGCCTCTTAGACTCTGTGAGAACTCCCCCACATCCTTGCAGAATGATCCCTGGGGTCTCCTGCATCTCTCTCAGCCAGGTTGCACTGGGACGGCCTGAGGACTGGTTTTTAATCTAAGACTTTCCCAGCGCTCCGCCCTCCTCTACGGCCAGAGATCTCAATAGGACTGCTGAGCTCGCCGTGGGCAGGCCACCTTCGTTTTCTCCACAGAGCACCTGCTTCCTGCCAGAGGACACTCACCGTGAAGAGAAGTAGGCTTTTTATCTCTCAAGTTAAAATCTCTCGGGTGGTAAACTGGCTGGGTAAGGTTTTTTAAAAGCAGTGTTTCGGAAGGCCCTGGGTCTCTGACGTGGTGGTCCCCTGTCATCTGCTGCAGTGTGTCCCCCAGGGATCGGTGCACAGCCATCCCCTGCCGCAGTCGTCTCGTCCACTCTCTCCTGTGGAGGGAAGAGCAGTGGGACTGAACTGAGCATCTCAGAGGACTCGGAGTGGGGCCCACAGTGGGCCATTGAAGCCATTTGGGGAGACGAACAGGGGCCACCGGGTGGGGCTGTGAACAGGGGAGCGTCTTGCTCTCGGCGGCAGGGTGGGCCTGCTATCCCCATGGAATCGGGGGTGGGTGTCAGAGACATTATTCTGATGTCCACAGATTAGTTTTGCAGCTGGAAGGGAGTTGATAGCCAGCCGTTGTTTGGGGTTGTTTTTTGGGGGGGGATACTGAGGGGAAAGATTTCAGTTCCCAACCCAGGCCAAGTTGGGGCTGCAGCCTGGGCCTCCTGTTCTCTCCTCATGCTGTTCTGGGGCGTTTCTGTTACCACAGCCACGTTACTCACCGGGTGGCAGGGGCTCAGAAGCAGCAACTTGAAATTTATGAATAAGTTTAAGCAGAAAGGTATACTGCCTACAACGGTTAAGATTCACTGTGTGGCCTAGCCCCTCGACTTGGTTTGGGAAGCTTTGGGGGCCTGAATTCTCTCTGCTTGAGCTTGGATTTTTCCCAGGATCCAGGGTCACCCCCACTCCCCCCAGTGCTCCCAGGATATCCAAGTGGGCACCACGCTTGTGAAGGTGCTGGTTCCCTGAATCCACAGCTCGATTTTATCATCCTTGAGACCTTTATTTGGTCCAATTGAATATAGAATATTAAGCTATCTGTTGTTTGGGGCGGGCACAGGGGAACTGTTGGGGAAAAGGTTAAGTTTGGCTTTTAAAAATGAAACTCTTAGTTAAGAGAGCAGAGAGGATGCACAGAACTATGCAAACTGTTATTTTCCTTCTCCTGTTGCCTCGTCAGCGCTGGGCACTGTGGTTGGCTGGGCATATTCGGACCACCTGCAGGGTGTGAAGTCATGGGAGAGGCTGGGCTTTCTCACTGTGAAATGCAATGGTGCCTTGAAAATGGAGGTGCTCAAAAGCCAAATTAAAGTAATAATGAATTCCTTTTGCCTTTGATGTTTCATTTTTGGCTTTGTAATTGTCCAACAGGAAATGCCCCACGTCAGTCCTGCCCTGTGTGCCGAGCACAACTCAATACGTGAGAGAGACACTGGGGATCAGGGTCCCCACTGGGAACAGACACTCCAGGACTCTTAATAATTGTCACGAACGTATCCATTTGCTTTGGGAAGATGGCTATCACTGAAGTCAGACTGGACTTCAGAGCAGCCGAGTGGCTTTCACCTCATGCATTGCTCTTGTTCCTCCGTGAACAGAAATGGTGGTCTTCCCACCACGTGGTGCTGGCCGGAGCCCACGGGGTGCATCTGGTTTGGCTTGCTTTGTGTCTCCAGCCTTGGTCCGACTCCGAGTTCCGACTGCTGCTCAGCTTGGCGGTGCCGCAGGAAACAAGTGCAGGAGCCCCTTGACCAACTGTACAACTGATGTCTCTTTTTCGGAGTCTGCAATTCACTGCGCAGATGGGATCTCCTTTCTTCTTCCTGGTCTTGAGTTGGTCGGGTGACGCCAGCAGGATAGAAAGTGGATGGAGAGCAGAATGGAGACAGGATGATGATCCAGGTCCAGAGAGCACGGTGTTAGTACTGTGGTACTGACAGGAAAGTCAGCCACTCCTTAAGCAGCCTTACCTTTGAGCTCACTTAAAGGGACATTGAAACCTGGAAGGATTTGCTGTAACACATTCTTTCTGTTGAATTGACTTCGCTCTTCAGAGCATTTCCTGGGCTCCTGGGCTCCTGTGCACCTGCACTACACTCAGTAACCGTGCACACACTCCACTGCTTCCGCTCATGCACATGGAACAAGAAGTTAGTGTGCAGCCTTTCGCTTTGGATCTAGGACTGTGATCTGGAAATGTGGACAGTTCCTCTTCTTTCACTTACACTGCGGAGTGCTTTAAGTGCACAGACCAGGGTTACACTTTATACATCAACGCCTTACTTTGTTGACATGGTTAGAGTCCAGAGATCAGGTTGATAAGTGAAATCATGTAAAACTAGACGATGAACCTATCAGACTGGAAGATGGTTGGATCAATATATAACTGCCAAATTAAACATTACTGTTAAACTACCAAGAACCTTGACCCAACCTAGCAATCACAACCAGCATTACTCTCGCCTTGCTGTTTTTCTCTTACGATCAGACATCTGTGGTTAGTTCATAAATGAGAAACGTTGGCTAACAATCACCGGTGAGCCGGTATATAGCCATGGACCCTTGGTGCACTAGTGAAAGTTCAGTCCACGGTTTGAGGGCTTCCAGGCCTGACTGAAGTGCTCTGCCTGCATAGCTCCTCCCCAGCTGCCCCACTCCACAGGACTCCAGGTGACTCCCCCCCACCCCCTCTTTTCCTAAGAGCTACTTTGCTAGACGCCCTTAAGAAAGCCAGAAATAATTTTCAGAAGCAAAAACCATTCGGGATGCTTGGATGTGAAACTCAAAACCTGGCTGCCCGGAGCCAGCTTCGACCCTCAGTGCCCCATGGGTTTCTGTGCCTACTTGGAAGAAAAAAAAGTCTCGCTGTGACGGAAATCTGGAATGCGTGAAACATCCGAATTTCCCAAGTAGTTGCATAAAGGCCTGGTACGGTATCAGTTTTATCTAATAACCTGATAATAATGTATCAGATTATCTAGTCACCTGAACACTGTACAAACAAGTGAACATAGAAACACAGACTGCTTTGAGGTCAGAGTCTCAGGTGGCCTTAAATCCAGGCAGCAGAGACCCGTGCCTGGGCCTCGGTTCTGAACGAAGAGCTCAATGAGTGGAAGGTCTTGAGTCTGCAAATTCATGTTTCTAAAAGTCCATCTTGAGCCCACCTAGACACCCCCCACACACACACTTGTGGAGTCCATTCCAAGTCAGCAACCCTGTGTGGACAGTGGATGTGCCCCACAAGGGGTTTTCCAGGCTCTGATCTTTCCTTGGGTAGCCAGCCGCAGCTGTCTCCCACAGAGCAGCTGGTGGGCCGAAACTGCTGTGCTCTCTCCTGCTGGCTTGGACAGAATTCTAATACTTAAAGCTGAACTGTTCGGAAAATGTCCTGAGCCAGCCCTTTTCAGGGGCAAGAGGCCAGAGGCCTCGCTGACAGACACGTGCAGTGAATGTGTGAATAGCGACCGAAAGCTGACGCTCAATACGTGCCTGATGTAGTTTATAACTTGGAATAATGAAAACGCAAACGCCAAAAACCCTGGTTCGACCGTGGCCTTTCCCCTAGGAGTCAGTAGCACATGGGGCCAGGAGCCCAGGGCCGTGACCAGAGCCCGGGCTCTGTGTGTCCATGAAAGGGGGTGGACGGGGCTAGCTGGACAGATTTCTTAAGCTTTCACGATGGGCTTGGCAAAATCCCATTTGATGAATTTTTTTCATGATAAATTGGAATTTATTACTGGGAGTGGGATAGTAATATAGTATTTATAACTTATGTGAATTATAATTTCGTATAAATGATAAAATATAGGGTGACTATTGAGTCCAAACACATTGTGCTGCAATGAAGCGTCAAGAAACCATTTTCTCTTTTACTTTCCTCTTGGCCCACTGTCATGCTTAGCCTTCATTTGGGTTTCAG